ATCCCCCTGACGCTCCCGCTCCCTGACCCTAAAGACCATGTGTCCCCGACCCTGGAGCCCATGCTGAGCCTCACGGGGGACCAGGGTGACGTCGGCTAAATGAACATTTCCAAATATCAAGAAACCCCTTGTGAGCAGCACAGTTAGACCATGCATACCCTAGTGGTTGCACTTTGGGCTACTAATCGCAAAGTCAGCTGTTCGAACCGCAGGTGGCTCCGTGGGAGAAAGAGGCTTTCTACTCCCCAAAGAGTTGCCTTCTTGGAAACCCACATAGGCATTTCTATGAGGGTCCTATAGGGTCACTGTGAATTGGAATAGACTCAATACAGTGAGTTGATCTTTGTAGTTTGTTTGCCATTTAACGTCTACTCTGCAGTACTTCTTATTGCAACCCCAACTTGAGTGTCTTCCTGCCCGGAACCTCAAAGCTGACTGTGCCTGACTTCTAGCAAGCCCCATCCCATCAGACAGCGGCCCCCCGCTCTGCCTGCAGAAGGGAGGTTGGGAGGGGCTGAGGCTCGGGGGCACTAGGGCAACCAGGAAGAGCCTCAGAGAGGAAGGGTGACCCCCCCACACACACCCTGGGGAGGGGCCCCCAGTGGGCGGCAGCTGAGGTTGAGGAGGAAGTGAGAGGGGGAGGTGAGGTGGAGCCTAGAGGTGCAGCAGCAGGGCCCAGAGCTGGGACTCTGGACAGAGGTCAGGCCTTTCTGCTATTTCAGGGCCTAGCTCCCCACCTGTGAAAAAGAGGGGACACTGGGGCTGTGGTGAGATACCCTGAAACCTACCCCCAACCCAGACCCTGGGGCAGGGCCTGGCTGGCTGGGAACCTGGGCCCCAGGCTGACCTGGAACTGCCCCCCCTAGCACTGGTCCTTCCGCGTCTTGCAGCCCCTGGCATCTGGGGAGGGGGCGCCATGGCCCAGGCCCTGGGGGAGGACTTGGTGCAGCCTTCTGAGTTGCAGGATGACTCCAGTTCTTTGGGGTCCGACTCGGAACTGTGTGGGCCCAGCCCATATCGCCAGGCAGACCGGTATGGCTTCATAGGGAGCAGCTCGGCAGAGCCGGGGTAAGTTGGTGAGATGTGGCGGGGCGGGGCTGAAGATGCGGTCTGAGGCCTGAATTCTGCCGTGCGGCCCAAGGACAAGCATCCTGGGAGAAGCTGGATGGCAGGCAGGGGATCCAGGGACAACACCTTTTCTCCACGCTTCTGTGGAGCCTGATGTTGGGAATGGCTGGGGATGGTGGTGAGGGTGGGTGGACCTTTCTGCCTTGTGTACCCCCACACCCTCCGCTGGACTGAGCATCCTTCCCCTTTGACCTCTGGCCCGGGAACTCCAGGTCCAAACCATAGGACCGATAACCTTCCCCCACCTCACCCTGAATGTGCAGGCAGGAAACCCAGTGCAGAGACACCCACTTGAGGTTACACAGCCGATCGATCAGAGACCTACCTTCTCAAATTCAGGACTCTTTACCTGACAGCGTAGGGCTCTATCCAACTATCTTCCCCTGTGACTCATCTGCTCCTAGTCCTGGGGGGGATAGCGGGGAAAGCTAGCCCACCCCTCCCCCAATAGACATCCCCACCCCTAGTTTAATCTCTCCTGCGGAAGCCCACATCAGAGCCACATCCTTTTCTGTCCCCATGACAACCGCTGGCAAGGGCCTGGCTTACCCAGGTAGCACAGTGGTGGTAGGTGCCTGGATCTCTGTGCCGTGTGTCCCCAGCCCAGGTCACCCCTCTGCTGACCTGATCCGCCAGCGGGAGATGAAGTGGGTGGAGATGACCCTGCACTGGGAGAAGACCATGGCTCGGCGCTACAAGAAGGTGAGAAGGAGAGGGTTCCCACCCAGGCCTCCTGGGGCAAGACCCTCTGCCTCAGTCGGTCACTCCAGCTTCCCACAGCAGTGCCCTGTCCTGTGAGCCTGGGCCTCCTGCCTTTGCCCCCTACCACCTAAAGCAGCCCCTTGCCCACACTCAGGGGGTGGGGGTGGGGGTCAGCCACCAGGGCAGCTGAAGCCAGCTTACCTGGCCTGTGAACCTGGGCCCCTTCGGCAGGTGAAGATACAGTGCAGGAAAGGTATCCCCTCGGCCTTGCGGGCCCGCTGCTGGCCCCTGCTGTGCGGGGCCCACGTGTGTCAGGAGAACCACCCCCGGACCTATCAGGTAAGTGGTGTGGCTGGGGGCCCTGCCTCCCCAACCCAGAGCCCATCTGAGCTCTCACGCCTGCTCCCCTGCCCACCCACCCCCAGGAGCTGGCCTCAGCCCCCGGAGACCCTCAGTGGATGGAGACCATCGGGAGGGACCTGCACCGTCAGTTTCCCCTGCACGAGATGTTTGTGTCACCCCAGGGTCACGGGTACGAGCCCTACCTGGCTCCCCAGTCCAGCATTTCAGGGGAACTGGGCAGGCATCCTGGGGGTGGGGGGAAGGGGAGGGTGCCTGGGAAGCAACCCTAATGGGGTGTCCCGGCACAGGCAGCAGGGGCTCCTGCAGGTTCTCAAGGCATACACGCTGTACCGGCCGGAGCAGGGCTACTGCCAGGCCCAGGGCCCCGTGGCCTCTGTGCTGCTTATGCATCTGCCCCCTGAGGTGAGTGACCGACCAGGGACTCTGGCCGCAGGGGCCTGGGATTCTGTCCCGGTGCCCATGACCACAAACGTCAGAGACCTCTCGCCCCAATGACCTCTTGTCCCAGGAACCTAGGGTCCTTGACCCCTGACCCTTCCCCTGGTGACCCAGGAGTCTGACC